GGTGCGGCCCCGCCGCCGAGAGGGCGGCTCGACCGTTCATGCACAGCTCCATGAATGGCCTGGAAGGTTTTTGTGTTTTCGCCTGAACTAAGGATGATTTGAATGCTGACAGCGGGCTTGCTTCTCTGTGGAGAAGCACGGTTATTCCGCGGAGTGCTGCCAGCTCGTTATCCGACGGAGGGCGTATTGGCCACAGATTCTGCGCAGATGGGGCCCGCAGGGAAGAAGAACAAAAGGGGTCACATTCTGGTGGGTCACATTTCAGGTGCATATCATGTGAAATACTAACCTAAAATTTGGTTTAAGGGTCTTAAGATTATTAAGTTTAATTTAAATTAAATGTAATAAGGATATTAATTTGTTTTATATCTATTATGTTTATTTTAAAATAATTTTAATAAATTTGAAACTCATTTTGATTGAAATTTATATAGTATATCATGTTGATCAACTGAGCACCCGTTGATTCTCTAGCTGATGACAAAATATTATGTATGTTTGAACGTATGTAGGTCCACGGTAAAGATTGGTGCAGAAAAAATAGAGATTTTTTTGCATATGCAGTGTTCTCCATATATGGGGAACATATGTAATATTTGTTCTTAACTGATAGATCTCATTGATGGGTCCCTATTAATCAATTCTAGGTAGTTAATATTCAATCTTGATTTGACCATTTAAATACGAATCAACTCTCTATCCAATAAGGCTTGCAAAATGTTTTTAATTGTCGATTTTGGGCTAATTAGTATACGAAACTTTTCTTAGGCTTATGTTAACAAACACCATATTGATGATATAATCAAATCATAGCACTCTTATTGTCGACAAGGAAGCAACAATTGTCATCCACATACAATTGCATGATAATAAAAAATGAAACCGATTGTACATCGCTCTTAGACAATTATAGTGATTCCTTACAGCAATAATTAGAAGTCTAACCTCCTCAGAAAAGACAAGACATTTCTGACCATATAGTTAAGGCTAAACAAAAGAGACTTCATTTCCTCTTAAAATTCCACAAATTTTTCTATATTCAGGAAGGCCTTTCAAAATGGGACAAGGTGGTTCTTCATTGTATTATATAACTTTTCTCATTCAAGTAAACTTCTCTCCTTCACTACATTGCATATATATGCTACGAAGTCAAATTACTTAAGCCATCATTTTCACATGTCATCTTCTCCTCTTCTTCCCCACTTTAGGGACATCAACATGTTTGAAGCCTACTAATTTCATTCTCACCAATTCACAACTAGTTTTTCTTCTTGCCTTCTTCACACAAGCTAAAAAGTGTATCAAAGAGAAGGCTCGACCCTTCTCTCTCTCTCTCTGTATATATATATATTATCATGATTTTTCTTATGAATGGAACAACATAGCATTTAAAAAATTCATTGCATGAATCATTAGACATACTAGTGAAAATTTTGAAGCAAAAGTGTATGGATAGTAAAATTGAAAAAATAATTAAAGGATGACTAAGGAAAATTTTTGTTAGGGATTTTTAACTATTATGACTGAACTCACGTAAAGGAGTCCATCAATTCTCTTGTTCCTTTAATTTGTTACCCACCCACCAAGTTTTGCCCAATGGCACTAGGTGGACCTTCATTGTACACTATACATTTAAAAACTAGGTGTGAGCTTGAACTTTGACAGTGAATAAAAATACTTGAAAGATAAGTGCATCATATACACTTTGAAAATGCAAATGGTCAACGTTTAGGAGCTTGAAACTCGTTAGGATGGGGTGTTGGAGGACTGCCTCAGCCTATGGAGAGATTCTTGAAAGTTTCGAAAAGCGGGGGAGCGATCCTTATCGCTTGGCGGAACTCTTCCTGAATCATGCATCGTAGCTCGTCACAGATGACATCATCAGAGTGGCAGTGAGGAGGGGCAATGTCAGATGAGCTACACAAACAAATTAATGGAACTTATAGTATCATGGAGGTAAGCATCCTAGCTTGGTAAGGGAAGGGTTTCTTCACGAAGAGAGGACACAGTACAAGAATGTTCGAGTCAAGTGTTTCTCATCGGTTGTTCAACTGACGGTGAGTAAACTCCATCAGGCGTTGTGGTTAGTTGTTGTCGAGCCATATGTAGGAGTTGTAAGATCTCTAATTGAGACTCATTCATTTTGCATAAACGTTCTTCCAAAGAAGGACCTGAGGTGTGTTTGCCAGCAGGGAAAACCTTACATGGTAAGAAGATGCAAAGGTCTGACGCCTTTAGCTTTGTGATTGTATCCTAGAGTGATGGGCATTCGATAGGGTTGCTTTGTTGTTGTGAGTATTGTGTCTGGTGGATATGCAGTAAGGCTCGCGAGTACTTCAGTGGTGGGATTGCTTGTTTTCTACAAAAAAACACTAAATTTTTGCTTGCTAAAAATTTGCAGCTGTACGGTAGCAAATTATCATCTTAGTGTTGTACGAGAATCTATCACACACTTAAGTTAAAATATTTCACTATGAGTTGATGATTGCAGGTATAATCTCTTGTCTCACTGGATGGAAAGAAATACACAGCTTCTCAAGTTCAATGTTCATGTATGGAAGAAAAAATTTCTCCATGGTAGAGACTGGTTGTGGTGAGGAGTGACTGCTAGAGCTTCAGCGCACCATCTTTGGGATTAGTACAATGTCCGGGATGATGTGCCACTTTTTAGGCTACTTCATGATTTTGTGGTGTTAGTTGTTGCTTCATGCAGTGCTTCATCACAAGGATTGAGCGGTGGCCAATGGTGTCTTGCAACTGTAGGAGTGGGAGGATGATGGTAGTTGACAGCGGCTGAGTCATTGTCGATGGTGGTTAATGACTGAAGGAGTAGGAAGTGTTTGCTATATTTTTGGGCAGGATAGCTTCAGCTCACTCTTTTTTAGGCTATAACCTTCCTCTTACTTGGTATCTAGTCCCCTCTCTATAGGATGGTAGGCTCTATTTTTAAAGTCCATATTACAGAAGATAAAAAACTATGGAGCACTGTGATCGAACGATTTAGAGAGGTTCCCTTATTCAGACAATGTTTTCTGTACATTTAACTGTCTTAATGACTTTAGATTGAGTGATCTTTAGTTTATTGAATTTATCTTATCAAAACACTCGATTTGACTATAAACACGTCAGATTTGAAATATATTTGACCTTTTAAGTTTGCACTAAAAGCTTCTAAAAGTGGTTTATCAATTTAATATGAGCTCGATTTGACTCCAATTCGACTGATTTCAATATCATCAAGCATATCTTATCTAGTCGGTCAGTTTAACCATATGTTTGTTGAAATTAGAGTTATTGATAAATTTTAATTGAATTTTGAAAGTTTTTGCTCAAGAATTTATCTTGAGATTTGTGTCATGCATCGAGATTTGTGATGAATAATGGAAATTCAGGCGTATCATTTTCTTTTTACGTCATATTTTTTCATGACATTTATAGGCCGCTAAGGCTGGAATGGGAGCTACACAAGCTATGATTCACATTAGTTGTAATCGGTTATGTAGAGTGTAGTGGTGAGTTGCAATGATGTTTGTAGGTTGTAGAAGTCAAAGTCAGAAGATGTGTGAGGTGTAAGCAACATAAGTCATAGTTGGTCACATAGTTCATAGTGGTGAGCTGTGATGACTTCGATAGCCCATAAAAACTGGAGATGGAAGCTACACTAGTAGTGTAAAACACAACGTAGTTGGTCTTGCAGTTCATAGTGGTGAGTAATGGTCATGTCCGCAGGCCGAAATTGCCAGAGTCGAAATCTACATGAGAGGAGCATTAAAAGTTTGGAGAAAGTCAAAGTCTTTGGGGTGCATTATTATGCCATCACGAGGAGATGTCATTGCATCGCATATGGGATACATTGTTCTGTAGAATATCACATTACTTTGCAATGCACACCTGGATTTTGTAACGCATGCCATGATTTTATTAAGGTTTTCATTTCAATGAGTCAAGGGTAGCCGAAAGTTGCTAATGATGGACAATAGGCGATGGTTGATGATGGCCAATGGGCAATGGTCGTAGTTATCTGGGGCTAAAGAAGTGGTTATTATTCTCCAAATTGGTGAAGCATAAGAAATGTTGGACTTCAGTTCTTCCTCCAAGCTTTAAGTTTTTTTCTAACTCAAGGTTTATTTCCCTCTCAAAAGAGGAGAGGATCTCTATTTATGGAGTTTAAGAGAGGTCTTTATATAATTAAGAATAAAATCTGAACCACTCCATCAGATGGCCCAAAAAGATTCTCTCAATCGAAAGATATTTTGTAATATTCCAGTGTCCTAATGACCTCATAATTGAGTGGTCTTGGGCTCATTGGATATGTGTCACTGAGACGCTCAATTTGACTACAAGCTTGCCAAATTTGACATTCGTTTTACTTTCAAATTGAAAGCTTTCAAGAGCAGTTTAATGGTTTGATCTTAGCTTGATTTGATAAGAATTGAACTAATTTTGGTACTTTTTGGTTTGTCTCATCGAGCCAGTCAGTTTGACTGTAAGTCTGCAAAAATTGAAGTTATAGATAAACTTTAATTAAAGTTCGAACGTTTCTTGATAAAAAATTGTCTTGAGATTCATTGTGCCTTGAGATTCATGCAAGATGTTGGAAATTTTTTATTGTGTATCTGTTACCCCATTTTTTTTAGTGAGACCAATTTCGTTGACCAAAAATATCAAAATCCAAAATAACACACACACACGTGTGTGTGTGTGTGTGTGTGTGTGGTATTATATTTATATAAGAAAAGTTTTTTAGTCCAATTGCCAATTGGTTTTTTTCATTTGTGTGAGGTCAAGGGTTCAAATCCCTTGGTCTTTAAAAAATTAATTTTTTTTTTATCTTTGGCGACAACCAGATGCAGAGGCCACCATGGTTGGGGGTGGCAGCGACCAGAGTTGGCTAAAGGTATAGACCAGAGATGGTTGGAGGTGGTGGCGGCAGCTACAGGAGTTGTTCAGAGGAGGCAGGTGGAGTTGGGAGGGGGCAGC